GCAAGGCAAACTATTCGAAAAAAGTTTTTAAAGTGTAGGAATATTTTTGTACGTACAACGCTTGTCATCTCGAAAACGTATAAATCCCCCAGATCTTGATGCTTATCATTAATTATCTTAGTGCCTTTTATATCTTCCTAAAAACTTCCATCACTGCAGTGGCGCATACGGCTTTTTACAAAGTGCGCATTTCGATGGTTGAGTTCATGTGTGAGGTACTTAACGAGCACTCCGACCATCGCTATCGTTCTGGCTCCAAAGACAGTCGCAACGGAAATGGGTCCGGAAACGTACGCAACGGAGCAACACGTGGGGGGCTACGTTACAATGGCACATCGTATTATTGCCGTTCAAGTGGGCAACGACGTGAAGGCAATTACCGCCGTGAAAATGTTGGAGGAGTCCTTTCTGTAATCACTTATCATTTTTATCAATTTTTTTTTATCAATTTTTTTAAATCAATTTTTATCATTTTTTTTATCAATTTTTTTATCAATATCAATTTTTTATCAATTTTACCATTTATCAATTTTTATCATGATTATCTCAGCTATTATTTTTACCATCTATATCAGTTATCTCTCTCGATAATTTTAAAACTATTTTTTTGATAATCATCGAAGTAAGCTGCATACATACCAAGAACATAAATACCGCACGAACAGTCTGTGTGAGGAACCACAGCTACCTGATATTCGATGATAAGTAATTATTAGCCTAGAACAGCTTGACTGACACTATCCCAAGAGTAGCAGTAAAATGGAAAGAACATATCATGGCTGGATCATTTAGTATATATAAGAACTAATAATTTCACCAAGACTGAGAAGTTTCAGTCCACTAAGCTGTATGCATCTTAACTCAGCACCATAAATAGGCCTTGTCATTCCAGCGATTATGAAATTGATGATTATTCGGTAATAATGTTACCATGATGCACCCAAATTCCGGGTATAATTCTCGGTGCACTACAAACTGTTCGATGCATTTGCGCTACCTATGTAGTTTAGAAAAGAATCTTTTTCAGGGAGAGCATTAAGCTGCCTACTTTTTTGGCTTTTCTAATAATTTCATACAGTTAAAAAACGTTCTCTCTGGGATCAAACTTTTGTTTTTCTCGCGAACTTACACACGAAAATTTCCCAAAAATAAAAATAACGAAGCGCTAATTTTTGCGAAACTAATTTTTTAAAAATGCTTTTTGATTTCCAGCCGGAAAAACTGCACAAAAATTTCTCTTTGAGTAGCCAAGAGGCAAAAATATTCGGCGAGGCTGTAAGAGGAATCAAAGTACGCATTACACATCGAGCTGGCGTTGTGCGTGTCTATCGCGTCAACAGCTTGCAGCTTCCAGCCGACCAGCTCTGGTAAGAATTGTTGGCAATCGTTGTTGACAACCATGGTACCTGGTCGGAACAAACGTTCACTCGCAATGAGGCACACTGTACGCACAGTGAAAGCGGCGATTAGCAGCTAAAACACTCTCTGACTTGGGAATTTGAGAACTGGTACGCAGCTGTATTTCATTGAAATTGTTCAATAATTTTGTTGCCAGATTTTTTAAGACCTGACAATGACTAGGTTATGAGGACTATATATAAATGTATATATATACATATATATATGTGTTTATATGTATATATATATATATGTATATATATATATATATCCACATATCTACTGTTTATCTTTGCGCAGCATACAACTGCCAAGCAAATTTTTGAAGTCGGGAAAATGGAATTTTTCTGCAGCATCTTAAAAATAGTAAATCTCAGTATCGGTCGTGAAACAGATTGCCAATTTTGGCTTAAACCATTTCGGAGAACCCAGTCGGGAACTGGCCAGATCTTCGACGTGAGGATTTTTAAAGTTTTGATTCAAATGCGGGATTGAGGGTATTAGGGTATTTTTCTTCCGCACGTTTAAGTGTGAACGTTTAAAGAGCTTCAGCACTTTTTAGGTTTGAAGGCAAAGATGAAGAGGGGAACGAACGCCGAATGACAGTGGCTGATTACTTCGGCGAACGTTATGCTGAGCTGAAGTACCCGAAACTGCCCTGTATACATGTTGGCCCCGTGAACCGTAACATCTTCTTCCCGCTGGAAGTTTGCGTACTGGACACACCTCAGAAATACAACAAAAAACTTAACGAGAAACATACTTCGGCTATCATTCGAGTATGAATTTTCAGTATTCACTGCCATACATTCCAAAAGCATTCTGATTTTCCAATTTCCATCCATGTCTTTTTATTTGGAAAATTTCCTTGTTGTTCAGCATATGTCCATTTTTAGATGGCTGGGGTATCACAATGTTACCGTGATACTCGCTCAAACGTTTGAGACTTTCTTGGCTAGCTGGAACTCTCTGTCTCCTTGCTTCCACTGATTAACATGGTCTTCAAAACACCTGAAACCCGTGCGAAGAGCAGTTTCCTTCCAAACAAAGAATTCTATCACTGTTAGAGATGTTATATAATGACTCAGTGTTCAGTTGTGAAAATGATGTTCAGTTGTGAAATATATCTGTGCCTTTTAGACTCGACATCGATAATTTTGGCACTTCCGATAAACCCATCTCTTTTAAGCCATTTGCAGGCAGCAGCAGTGGACGCCGTTTCACGTGAACAACGTATTGTGGCACTTTTCGAACAGGCTGGCTTTCAAGAAGATCCGTTTTTACGTGAATTCGGATTGCGCATCAATCCAGAGATGTGTGAAACAACTGCTCGCGTTCTCACGCCACCACGTATTCTTTTCGGTGAAAATAACCGACGTGCCGATCCGATAGTGATACCAAAAGACGGCGCCTGGTCAATGGATAATCAGCAACTGTATGTGCCAGCAAGCTGTAAAAGCTTCTCGATGATTGCACTAGTCGATCCGCGTGAACAGAATCAGCTCCAGTATGTTTTTGTGTTTGAAATAATCCTAACATTCCGTATAAATGAAAATTAGAAACACTGCACACATCACCATGCACTTGACGAGAAGGGACAACTTTGAAGAGCTTGAAACATTCTAATTCATTTGATTATTTTTTAATATTTTATATATATATATTTACATATATATATGTATATGTATGAAATATTAATAGTGATGATATATATATATATATATATCATCATTCAAATCTTTATTAGACGGGAATGAAAAAAAAAGTAGAAAAAAAAAACCTCTTTTTGCACTAGGAGATGCCCGTCCTTCTTCATCCCCTCTCCTTCCCCTGTCACGGAAAACCCGCAAAAAGCCGGCCAAAAAGAAAAAGATGGGAACTGCCTATGGAAGGCAGAGAAGGAAAGAAAGGTGATTCTGCCTTGATAGAAGATATATACAGTGAATGTGCTGCCAGGCTATAACCTGGTGACAAGGGCTGATGGCGTAGCGGTAACACGTTGCGTTCGGATGCGATGAGGAGTGGTTCTATTTTCTCCGGTCGTGAATAATTTCTGAGAAAGGACTCTGTTCACGACTTAGCCTTTCCTTCCCCTCCCTCTCTTTCCTTCTTGTACCTTCCTGCCCTCCCGCTCCCAACCTCTCTGAATTCTGTTGTGGTTTGAGGCCAGCATTACAAGAATATGTTGCAGCCTGTCCCGTTAGGCAGAAGAAAACGCTTTATTAACATTACGGAGGCAGAAGCAAGTCTTTCTTGACGCGACTTTTGTCTTAATGTGATGCTGTAAACTTGCAATCTTTGGTTTAGATCGTTTTGCCAAGCAATCGCTCAGAAGGCTTGTCAGATGGGAATGAAATTCCCAAGTTGGCCGGATCTCGTCAAATATGGTCGTACGAAGGAGGATGTCTTCATGCTGTTCAATGAAATTGCCACCGAATATGAGCAAACCGGCACAATCTGCGATCTGATTATCGTCGTAATGCCTTGCAAGAATGCTGATATCTATAGTGCGTCTTTTTCACTGTTAAATTTCCTAGCTTTTTTTTAAATTTCAAATTTTTGATTTTCTTATTCTAAATCGTTTGATTTTTCGGCTAAAAACCATGACCAAAGCACATCAGAGGAAAAAAGTACTGTGGAGCTACATATCCAAATCTGAGGTTGGAGCGCTGCGTTGACGACTTCCACCACACTTTTTTTTCGAACAGTGCTTGTTTTTGGATGGCAAATTTTAATAATGACTTTTTAATAATGACTTTTGTTTGAATCAGCTGTAATTCATAATACGGTTCTAAAACTATGTAGCTGATAACCCTTAGTCTTGCTCCGACCAATGCTGCGTCACCTGATGATCAGTCTGCTCCTGACAAAAGCATGTTGGCAAGAACGCTACCTGGGGATGTCTTGTAACACAACCTAGATGTGAAACGTTGCACCCACAGACCATAACCAGGTTCTTTGCACTCTCGAGTTTGATGGCACAAGTCAGAAACATCGTAGCTCAGTCTGCGACTTAGAAAGCATGCATGACGCAAATACCGAAAAAACTGGTTGACGTAAAAACAAACGTTTTCAGTGACGGTGAAGGAATGCAGCGACATGGTACATGGAATAATGTCGCAGTGCGTGTTGATGAAAAGCGTAAGTCGCCCGTCACCGGTCACTTGCTGCAACCTCATCCTGAAACTGAACATGAAGCTTGGTGGGATTAATTCACGTGTTGTTGCTGACTCGATCACACGCAAGTATTTGATCGATGTTCCCACGCTTATCATCGGTATCGATGTCACGCATCCCACGCAACAAGAAGAGCGTCAGAATATTCCGTCTGTTGCAGCTGTATGTTACCACTAACATAAGAATGTGATTTAAATTTTAGCAGTTAATACACCGAATAAGCTATAGGTATAAACTAATGAAATAAGAAACCTAAAAATAGTAACTAAAAAATAGAAAGTTTGATTTGTACAGTGAAATGAAATTTCTATTGTCAAAACTGGGTATTCCATATTAAAAATGCTTCTTGGGCGCTCCAGCACGCCAAAGCAGCTGTGCTAAATCCTTGATCCAGGACTACATAGCGCTACTTAATACCCACCGCATTATTCAATCTGCACGCATCGTGTCGTTGTAGTATTCTGACCAAAATGGATACGTATGAAAAGTACACGTTTTTGTACACATACAGCAGTGAAGTGCGCAGCATACGTACTCATACGTCGAGAATCTCTGCACGTTAAAGAAATCAAAATGAAGAGTGCCTTATATTCAAAGACCAATTCTGTAGATTGTGGCCAATCTGGATCTTTATCCGCAGTCCTACGGTGCAAACATCAAAATCCAGCGCAAATGCCGCGAATCGGTAGTTTATTTGCTGGATGCAGTACGTGAACGCCTTGTGGGCTTTTATAAGGCAACAAATCAGAAGCCTATTCGCATTATCGTTTATCGTGACGGCGTTTCGGAAGGACAGTTTAGTGAGGTAAGAAACATATGCACAAATTTTCACGTGTGTTTCAAAAATAAAACATGAATTTTAGGCAAATTTGTTAATCGCATATACAATGTCATTAGTGATTCCAGTATTCAGCTTAAAAGGTTGGATACGTGGAAGTTTTGGCCGGAAAAGTGCTAACTAGGGAAACAGAAAGCTAGAAAACTAAATAGTGTCCCCTGTCCAAATATGATTGGAAGATTTCAAATTCAGTTTCCAAATAAGTTTGGATCTCACGTACGAACACGTGGAAATTTCCACGCGAAATCTACTGTCCGGAAATTGAAAAGGGCAGAAAACTGAAATTTTGAGGATATATCCTACGTCTACCTATTGCACAAACATTTTAAATTTAGATCCTAAGTACACTCACGGGCGAATACGTGATTTGGCGTGAAATTTAAATTACGGGAGACGAAGAGACTAGAAAACGGAAATTTCTAAGAGATATTCCACAACCACATAAAATTCAAAGATTTCAGATCCAGCTTCTGGCACGCTTGGGCATTTGGGATTTTTGACAGGGGAATGCTAACTTGCAGACCGGAAATGGTAATGAGCTCAGATTTTAGGGAGGCTTTCTCTGTCCACGTGCTAAGGGCAGCCGATTAACTGACACAAAAACGTATGATGCGTGTCGCAATTAATGAATGCTTTTCCATAAGCGGCAAGTGTAGGCAAAATTGGAAAGAAAAACAAAAAGTGAAAGTGTTGTTTTGTCGATAAACATTTCTCTTAACTACCATCGGTCAAATGGTCAGCAGCAGGAACATAATTCATTGTGCTGTAACTCTTTCCGAAAAGCCTGAATTGCCCTATCGGCTGCTGTTTGTCTTAAACAATACTAGGTAATTGATAACACTCCTGATGAGTTAACCTGAAATGTGCGTTATTTAAAAACAATGTGAATCTTATGAAGTACCACAACTTGCAGGTTCTGCGTGAGGAAATGCAAGGTATCCGAGCAGCATGTTTGATGCTTGCAACGGATTATCGTCCTCCAATCACCTACATTGTAGTCCAGAAGCGACATCATGCGCGGATGTTCTGCAAGTATTCGCAGGATGCTGTTGGCAAAGCAAAAAATATCCCACCAGGAACGACTGTCGATACGGGAATTGTCTCACCGGAAAGCTTCGACTTTTATCTTTGCTCACATTTCGGCATTCAGGTCGTTTGTTTTGCTTTTTTTGGCTGCGATTTTTTTTTTTTTGTCTGCTTGCTACTACCAGGAGAAATTACTAATCTGTAAACCTTAAAGTTTTTATCGGGCTTTAGCATGAAATCGAGAACTACAGCAAAGTCATAAAAATGATTCAGAAATCGTCTGACAAAAAATAAAATGGTTCATTGAATATCCGAAAAACACGTCATTTAAAACTAGTTGTTTGGTTCTCAAAGTATGTAGTTGATGAATTCTTGAGTTGCTGCGACCAATACTGCATCACTTGCTGTGGCCATTCTCTCGGCAGTCCTTACGTTCGCTTTATCTCCTAACCAGATTATCAGCTTAGCAGTCCTATTAGCATTTGACAAGGCTTTAGCCGT